CCTTTTTTTAAACATCTAAAACTGAATGGCAGAAAGATTTCTATTATTTTCGAATTCTCATAAGGTTTTTGTTATTATATAATAACTTGTGGAAATTAATATCATTAACTCTAAACAATATGATACGGTGACCTAACAAGCTTTAATGTACTATTGTTTATTTGCTTTTCTATTAATAGATTCTACATATATATCGTATTAAAAATAACTTTTTTTATTAATATTAAAAAATTTATGCTAAAAACACATGAATTTTAATTTTTTTTTTTTTTGTTTAAAGAAATTTGACAAACACATTAATAGATTCTTTAAAAAAAAAAAAAATTTAAAAATTCATGTGTTTTTAGCATAAATTTTGTATTTATTTATTTTTTTGCTTTTAGAAAATGAAAAGATTAAAAGTATATCCCAAAGAAATATATATAAAAAAAAATTAAAATCTAAAAATGATTTATTTAGATTAACTGAAAACACGTTCGACATAATCATAGTAAACAAACACATCCTAAACTAAGTATAGCCAAATAATTTTATTATGTATAAGAAAACACAAAACATGTCTATTTATTTCATCTTCTGCTTTCTGAATTAATTAAGTTTAATTATCCAAAAATGGAGAAACTTTTCCAAGTTATGATAATGGTTGTCATCTTCTTCATCGTCACGGCATTTGAAACTGAAGCTACTGGTTTGGAATGAACTACTATTGTCCTTGTCCCAGCATTTCTCCTTGTTGCAGACTACCTAAAGATTAATATATTTTATGTTTATCACATTTGGGATCCATCAGACTGTGTTTGGTATACTCTTTTTTTTAATAGGATTTTTAAAATCCTATTTTGAATAAATTTTAGGATAAGATTTTAAAACTGTGTTTGGTATATTGTTGAAAAACATTTAAATTATTTTTTAACCTCTTATTTTTATTAATTTAACTAAACACCCCCAACAATAAAAATTTATAAATCAACAAAAATACCTCCACCCACCCAATCGACTTCCAATAGTTGGCCACCACCACCGAACGGTGGCCTTCAGTCGTCAGAATGGTGCACAACTGGCTGGATCTGACCGATCATGCGTCGTTCCTATGGTGGTAGCGGCGACTGCTGACAGTGGCAGTGGCTATTAGCAGGTGACAATGGCTTGGGTGGATGAGGGTGTTTTTGTTTATTAATAAACTTTTATTGTGAAAGGTAATTGTTAAATGTTTTTGGTTAAACAAAATAGGATTGAATTTTGAATTGAATAGTTAATATTAAAACAAACATTATTTCATTAGATTGGATAAGATAGTAGAATAATATAGAGTATGAAAAGTGTATCAAACGGGGCGTTGCTTTTAGGATCACACTCGAGAATTTTAATTAGAGGAGGGAATTAGGCCTAGGCCCAAAAAGCTGGTCCTAGATGGACCAGGCCCAAGGGAGGAGGCACTGGGCCCAGGTCGGTCACTCCTCCAAGGCCCAGGCTTGACATCAGTCCTATACTCGAGCTCAAACCCCTTCCCCAATTACACTTAACCCTCGTAAAATATCCAAAACCCTCATTTAATATGAAATTGACAATAAATATAGAGGTTAACATGTGATTTTACACGAAAAAAATAAATAGGATTGATCCTAGGACCAATCCTATGGATCCTCACAAATCTCATGGGCCAGAACCAGGCCTTCAAAAATTGGGCCCAGTCCCCCAAGGCCTGGTCCCAAATAGGCCCAAGCCTGGCCAGGCCTTGCCCACCTCTAAAATTTTAATATATTTACTTATTTATTTATGTATGTGTTATATATTATTGTTGTTATAATGAAGTAGTTTAACATTTTTAACCTTTGTTATGCAAGTGGCAAATCTCATTCTCAAATAATATTTTTAATTAAATCAGTTTTCTTCTAGAAATTGCTCGTGGCTTTAATTTCCCTTCATAAATGAAATATATAATATAAATTAACTAAGATCAAATATTGGAATAATAATGTACAATTTTGAAAAAAATAAAATTATAATAGCTCGTGACTTTATATTTTATAGTATTTATAATTTTACCCTCACCTAAATTCATATTGAACCTACTCAAACGTTAAACAAAATAAACAAAGATTTTATATTTTACAATAGTTAAATTTTAACCTCACTTAAATTCATATTTGATCTCAATAACATTTTATTGTAAATTTATCAATTTAAATATTTTAAACCTAGTTATTAAAAATTTTAACTACATCCCCATATATATATATATATGCGTTGTTCCATTATTTATGTAAATTTAATTTTAATCAATAAATAATCCTATATATGTATTATAAATTGTTATTATAATAAGGTAGTAAATTTCAAGCTGTTCGACATTTTTAAACTGTTATTATGCAAGTAGCGATTTTGAAAAAAAAAATATATATATATATATATATATTTTTCATTATATCTATATATTATATTCATACGAATATGAAAAATTATTTATCAATACATTGATATTATTAAAGTTTTATATTTTTGTTACATTAAAATGTGCCTTTAGAATACGTTACATTGTTTTTGTTTTAATGGTAAAATGGTGTCTCTACTGATAGGAATTTAATAAAATAGTTTTGAATATTCTTTTGATTATAGAAATAATGATAACTCTCCTCATCCCTTCAAGTAATATATATAGTAATTAACTAATTATATATAGAAATAGTTTTTATTTTTTATTTTTTATTTTTTATTTTTTTAAGATTTCTAATGTGAGAATTTGGTTAAAATTTTCTTTTAATATATACATGCCATATAAAATGTAGGTCGGGGTTTTTTTTTACAACTTTATAAGCCAACGAAACCCTAAAAATCATTGACGGCAAATGCTTTTTTAATAGTTTTCGAAAACCGTTATGTCGTTTAAGACTTAGGTATGCTACAAGGCGGATGATATTGATTAAACCGGATTTTAAGCAACAAAAATGTTAACAATATTCCAAAGAAAGAACGGTGAAAATTAAAAAAAAAAAAACTAAGCCGTTTTAATTAACTTCTTTTTATAATTCCCTAAAATTAGCAAAATAATTTATTTATAAGATGCTAATTACTCACACCAATTCCTCCATTATTTTTCACATCTCTTGCTTTGTGAATTCATTAAGTTGATAAAAAATGGAGAAATTTTTCAACATTGCCAAGAAGCTTCTGCCTGTGATCATGGTGGTCATCTTCTTCACCTCCATGCCATTTCTTATTGAAGGTGCAGGAGGAGAGCAGGCTTATCATACCAACTGGAATTGTCCTTGCCCCGCTATTCCTGATTGCTGCCTCCGTAAATGAGATGTTTGTTACGTATAATTATTCTCAGGTGTGGACGTGCGAAAATTAAAGTTGAGAAACCCTAATTAGTCTTTATTTTTTTATAGTTTGTGCTTTAAATCTACATTTTGGATCCGTACATGAGAACATTATACAACGTGTGTATTGTATTATGTATATAGGGTATGTTTGACGCGCGACATAGCATAATACTAAATAATACAATGCTATGTTTAGTGACAAACCTGTGTATCGTTAAATAATGTTAAAGTGTAAAATGATGCAATATATGACTATATTCTATATAAAATAACATCAAATAAAACCAAAACATGAGTTAATGCAAATTATTTAACTTTTATTTTAAGTGAATAAATATTGTCAATTAATTTAATATTTATAAATTTAAATTTGCAATGCCCGGTCACACTATGGTCAATACCGATCAATGACATCGACCATTGTTGACCTACATTGACAATCGTTTGATCGACATTGACTAGTGTTTGACCACTATATTGACTTTCCGTTGACCGGCATTCACCACAAAGGCACAAACCCATTCATCTTTTGACTTTTTCTAATTATTAGTTAAATAAGAATTGAAAATATATTAGTTTTTAATAAAATTTTTATTAGAGAACAAAACTAATATTATGCAATATAATTTATATACCAAATATAGCATAGTATAAAAATAATACAATACAATGTTCTACCAAACATTATATAATACAATGCTATTCTATACAATTTGTTTAATATTATGTCATATCACGTGTCAAACATATCCATAATATTAATGATCATATATTTACTTACCATCTTGGACATATTTTGGATGTGATATTATCTCAATATATTTAATTACTTTTGATATTCTTGGTAACAAATCATAATAGAGGTGATTTTGCTAATGACATCCAGATATCTGTCTTCCAACTGTCCATTTATTTCCATTCTTGACATTCCCCTTTCTGTATAAGAAGCAGATTGTGGAAGCAGTTGATCCATTTCTCCATTTCTTGGCTTTCTGAAGTTGATAAAAAATGGAGAAAATTTTCCAAGTTGCAGTGAAGCTGGTTCTTACGATGATTTTGGTGATGGTGTTGACTACCATGCCAGCTTTTATTGAAGGTGTTAGACATGAGTCTTCTTTTCCTCACATGAATTTATGGCCTTGCCCTTGCCCAGCCAAACCTGACTGTTGCCTTGCTCGTAAAACTTAACTACTGTATGTTTCATTTTCATCTGTAATAAGATTTTGGATTCTATGTCCATTTTATCTAATAAATTAGATTTTATGTTTATGTTTATGTTTATGTTTATATATATATTGTATAAATAAGATAATCGTTTGAACTTAAACCATATTATGTCTTATGACTCATCAATTAGATAAGTAAATCTTTTGAAAGAAGTCTAAACATGAACTATGAATTGTCTTACGACTTAACGACTTATCAATCACGTAGATGAATCTTTTGAAAGAACTCTTCAATTCGCGGATGAAATGATCCCTTCTTTCCTTACCGGTTGATCCCCAGACCTATTTCTATTCTTTTTCGCTTTATCAACTAATCTTATTATTGGATCTTGTTCATTAGATTGAGAAAAATAAATATTTTTATGTTTTCTTTGAATTTCTAGGTTTCAATGGATAATTTGTTATTTCATATTCCTGAATGATTCCTCGACAGAAAAATTACAATCACCTCTAAAACAAAATGAAGTGTAGAATTAATAGAATTAAGAACTTTACTCTAAATTTAAAAAATTCTTCAACTGAATTTGAACACACGGATTTACAGCTAGTGTGAAATCAGTATCTTCACTACACACCCTTTAGAGTTTGAAGGCAGAAACACACACAGCTATTCACAAATGGAACCCTTGTTCCAGAGTTAGAAGAAAAAGGGCGAAAAAAACCATGGAAGGAACAAGATCATCCATTTCAGCTTCCTACTGGAGGTTAGCTAGCTTCTATCTGAATATTCCAGTAACATCAACGCTATTTCATCGATCAATTATAGAAATCTAGGCACTCTAACTACGTTGTCTTGAGCGGAAGAACTCGTAGTCAGGATGTCTATTTACAGAGGTTTGATTTCCTTTATTGACAACAGCTGTTGACATATGAGATGCTGTCTCCTCGAGTGTCTTCAACCGCTCCCTGAGAATCCTGGAAGGGTTTAAGCCAGAGCTTTCTGCTGTCTGGTTCATAGCAGGGTGCTTCAGCTGGAACCAGCACTCACTCTGCTCATGTGAACATCCCGTAAAGATTAAGATAGATGAATAATATGAGCTGAATTGATGCATGATGCTAGAATGCTGGAATTGATATATATTCGACATCTTGGATGAAGCCATTTCTGAAACGACATCCATTTGACATGACAATCGAAACTTGAACATGCAAGCATTTACAGGCATGCAGTGACTGCTATATCTCCAATGGGCTCATTTAAGGAGATAAATTTATGCCTTCAAAACCCAAGTAAATTTCAATCACTTCACAGCTTGCCATGACTAAATTATCAACATTTCAAATGTATATCATAACTTATATGCTTCAGCAAAATGCGTTTGCTACGAGGATGGTTATTTTAATCTGTAAGGATGAAATTGAAAGAATTCATTTTAATAAGCTCCTAGGTGTAACAGATATGGTACCTAAACAGTATCAGCCGCTAAACAGTGATAACTGATTCCTTAAATGACATCAAAGTATTACGAGTATGTCAAAATGCAGTTAGGAAAAATTCTCACGGTAGACGGACAGAAGTACTGTGGAAAATTATGTTAGTAACAGCCATTGCAGTGTCGGCATAACTAAGTTGATTTTTCAAAGGACAAGCAGTTAAAATAATTATATGGTTACCTGAGCATTGTAACTTTGGAGACCCACCACCGGAGAAACAATACTATCTACATTAGCAGAATTGACTTTTGTACTTCTACGAATCATATGACCAAGTGAATGGTAAGTCAAAAATGCTGCACGGAAATTGCCATCTGGAATCCTATAAATAGGATACCATGCCACTGAGTACCTGAAATATTAAATGGCACCAAAAGTTACTATATTTCTTGGAGTCAGCTGTTGGTACAACGAAATTAGTTTTGTATAAACGTTCAAAAGATAACAAAGAAGTTATTGTCTCATTGAGCATACTAGTTTTATGATAGGAACCCACCCCAACAACTTAAACAATTAGATTGGGCAATGGGTCTTTTATGAATTTGGGTAAAACTCTCTTTGAAAAACCGGCTTGCCAAAGGAGGATACCCAAGCCCTTATAAACCACATGCCCACACATTTTCCCTCTCTATGTGAGATCCTAACATTCCATCACGTTTCCGCCACCGACGTTCATGTATTTACCCCTGTCGGCCTCTTTACTCCTTGGGTGACTACACAGATCCCCTTTCCCTTGGGTCTCCATGCCTTTTCTCAGGGTAGCAACCCGGCCCAAGGTCAGCCTACCACATAGGCGACGTCCCGTGGGCATAGGATCATGCCCTGATACCAATTAATAGGAGCCTACTCCCAAATTAATAAGAATTGGGCTAAACAGTGGGCCTTTGATAAGAATTGGGCTGAGCAGTGGGCCCTGATAGGATTTGGGCTAGACAGTGGTCCTTTTGTGGGCTTGGGTAAAACTCTCCTTGAAAAACCGGCTTGCTGAGGGAGGGTACCCAAGCCCTTTATAACCTACATGCCCACCCATTTTCCTTCCCATGTGGGATCCTAACACCACCACACTTCCGCAACCAACGTTCACATAGACCTCTTTACCCATTGGGTGACTATGCGAATCCCCTTTCCCTCAGGCCTCCATGCCTTTTCTTGGGGTAGTACCTCGAGGCCAAGGTTAGCCTACCACGTATGCGATGTCCTGTGGACGCAAGATCATGCTCTGATACCAATTGATAGGAACCCACCCCAACAACTCAAACAATTGGGCTAATGGGTCTTTAATGGGCTTAGGTAGAACTTTCTTTGGAAAACCGACTTGCTAAGAGAGGGTGACCAAGCCCTTATAAACCACATGCCCACACCTTTTTCACTCTCAATGTGGGATCCTAGCATTTTATTCAAATTAGATTAAATTGAGTTACATATGATTTTCATGTAAATTATCCGAAAATTAGTTACTCACCAGGATGTAGGATGCAGATCATGTAGATTTATGGAGTTCAAGTAAGTTGGATCTCCATATGCTTTCCACTGAGAAGGCCCATCACCGCTAGCCAACTCTTGAATTCTGACATGGATAAAAACAGAATTAAAGATCAAATATGAAAAGGATGTCAAATAGCTAGTCTGGTTATCTTATCACAGTTCCAAGGAATACCTGAAAAGCTAAGAGGATCAAGAAACTACTAACAACAAAAGATGAATTATGAACATATTACTCGTCTAGTCAAAGTCACTTAAAAAGAGATGGTTCAGCTAATAAAATTAAGCTCAATCTACCAAATGACGGGGGAATTATACTCAAGATTAGGGATGAGACATGAGTCGAGTAGCTTGCGAGCTATTCGAGCTCGGCTTGTCGAAAGCTCGAATTCGACTTGAAGCCAGTCGAGCCGAGCTCAAGCTTGAGCAGCTCATGAATAGTATCGAGCCGAGTTCGATCCGGTCTGAGCTCGGCTCGTCAAGCTCGCGAGCTTAAACAAGCTCCAGATTTTAAAATCATGTAGTGCTTTTTCTCGAGCTCGATCAGGCTCGAGCTCATTTAAGCTTGATTAAGCTCGTTTAAGCGAGCTCGAGCTTGAGCGCACCTTAATATTCGCGAGCTCGAGCTCGAACACCGATATTGAAGCTCTACCAAGCTCGGCTCGAGCTTGTTATTGTTCATCACGAACCAAGCTCAAGTACCGAAATACTCGGCTCGGCTCGGCTCGTATACATCCCTTCTCAAGATCGTCTAAGTTTATTGCTCGGCCAATAAACGAGCTGGACAGAACCAGCTATTTCTTACTCTATGCCAAAGACTGATTTTTGCTTATGAATATATTCTACAAGACTGCAATTTTATTAAAGACAAATGATACTTACTTTTCATAAAATGGCCGTCTTTGTCGAGGTTGTTCAGATTCAAAATATTCAAAAAGTAGCTCCGAATCATTGGAGCATGTCATGTCAACTGATGGAACAGAAAAGTCTTCTTTGGAAGAAACTGGAGACAGCTCTGATTTACACACCTCTTTCTCATGTGGCATAGCACTTGTGTCAGAAGTGCGAGGCTGAGGAACTAGCAACGAATATGTTGGTAGATGACCGATGTAAGAGGAGCTTTGTGATGTTTCACCAATCTCATCCGCCTCCAAATTCCCAGGAGTAGGAAGACCATTCCTTCTGTTTGTGGAATGACTTTTACCACTCTTGAACAGCTGAACTGCTGACAAAAAGGGAACAAAATAGGCACGAAATGAGAACCGATCAACACCCAATCTATTTAACTGTTCAAAATCATCTGCCCTTATTTCTAACCCATAGCTCCCATGTTTTTCATACCACTGCCACAGGCATCCTAATGAGATATTAGGTATCTCATGTCTGCACAAAGATGCCCCAACACCCTGGTCCTGTGAGCACTCATTACAGCTTATTATATTAGGTGAATGACAAATGACGGGAGAGGAAAAGTGGAGAAGTCTTTCAAACTCAGCAATTGGAGAACCAGTGGCCATCTGAACAGCTTCAGATGCCAATTGCATCCTAGAGGCATGATTCACCGCCAGCAGAATCTTGTCCAAATCAGTTTCAACTGCAGAAAAGTTTTGATCTTTAGATTCAATAGTCAAGCAATTGGCTGCAATAAGCTTGCTATTTTTCTCCTTGAATGTGTGGGCACTTGTATTCTTCAATTTTGGAGTATAGTTTTCATCCTCCTGAGAAGAAACACTTTCAGAAACCAAGCCTGTGCTCATCCTTTCAACAGCCAATACAGAAAAGAGATTTTGAGAATTGGTAACAACTTTCTCATCAACATTGCTTCTCAACATCCAGTCCTCAACACCTTGTCCATCAGAATGCCTTGATGATACACTGTTACATCTTGTAGAGGTCGTACTCTGAGGATTCTTGGTCCCAATAGGTATCCATTTCTGCAAAAAGGATCCAGAACAATGGTTTTGCTTACTGTATTCAGCAAGAGAAATGTCCTTTTCTTTTTGAGCAGCCTCATTAACTATAAGATGAGGAAGGTAAACCGGAGACCGCACCTCAAACATATTCATTTTGTCCAAAGAACGGCAGGAACTTGCCAATAAGCTATCCTGATTTTGTTCCTTCATATCAGAAACAGTATTGTAATAACTTTCAACTGATCCCAAATTTTCTGGATGATCGTGTGAGTTGTGCAATGCTTCAGAATTCAAAGATTTGAGTCTGCTGCTCTGAAACCCAACCTCTGGACAACCAATCTGAGAATGAGATCTTGGAACACTTCCCAATCTTTTTTGGTCACTAAACTGTGTGGAGATATCTAATATTTCATTCGGTTCAGTAGAAATCTTAGCATGAGCGTTTGCACTTGCCTTGCTGGAATAAGAGGCCCTATGGGAATAAGAGTTGTATTCTTGCTTTGAACCTGGACTAGTTTTTCGCTTCTGCTTCCTTGAAACCTTATGTTTTAACTGTTTTTTATCTTCAGTTTTTGATGACATATCTACCTCAGCAGCATTAGGGTTTCTTCTAACGAAAGAAGCCTCTTTGAGAGTCTGTGAGCCCACAGGATGTACTTTCTGAAAATCAGAGTTACATTCACTCGTATTATTCTTCTGAACCTTTTGCCAGACACGATGACTGTTTTCCTTCCCAGTACGACCATGCGAATTTCCAGCACTTCCAAGTTTATAAGCACTTGAACCCCTCAGCACCATTTTAGCTTGCTTGCTCTTCTTGCCTGGTGCAACCACTTGCATGTCACTGCTTCTAAAACCCTGATTGCCAGTTCTAGATCCTTCAGTGTAGTCATAGAAGTCTACAACACTATTTAATGAGTTTGGACAAGAGAAACACCCTTTTCTGGAACCATAATCTGGTGGATCCGAAAGACCACTTTCGTTGCTTCCCTTATCACACGGTTTAGCCTCACAGCTAGTAATCGTACTAATATCACTGTTTGAACCGACAGAAACCGAATCCAAGACTCGGGAGTCATGCATATCAGGTAATCCATTTGAATGTATACCACCATAACAGCTGGTCTGCAGATGATTTGTCTCTTCTATTCCTCCATCAAGAATGGAAAATCCTTGGTCATCCATTTGAATCCTGATTTCAGAATCAATTACATGATATCCACCATGAAAATTCTGAACTGAAGAAGGTACCTTAACTTCTGATAGATCTATTTCATCAATGTAGGATGTGCATGTCTTCGGCGATTCAGAAGAATTCCTGGTGCCATTATTGTTTTCTAAGTCTATCACATTAACTCTACTATCTGATAATGAATCTTCTTGTGAAGTTGCACAAGATACTAGTCTGTCACCATGATCCATATCATTCTTACCACAGGTTTTTGCAACCAAAGTACCACAATCATAATCCTCAGAGAAAACTTCTGGTTCGGTAGAGACAGAATCACGAGAGAGCTTCTTTTTCTGTTTTCCCTTCTTTCTTGCCTTCTTTCTCAAATTTCTCTTTATAGCCTTGTCTACTTTGGAGTTTTCACAAAATATGTCGGATGATTTCAAAGAACCAGACCTTTGGGGGATTATATGAGAGGATGTTCTGCAAGAGATAGAACCTTGACAGGATGGATTACTAGAAAATTCATTCAATCTAGTAGTTTTATTAATGAAGGTCATATTTCGAGATTGATGTCCCACAAAGCTTCTTGCTGGAAATGACTTGACAGAATAAGTAACATCATGCAGAGGAACTTTCCATGGCTTTCGTCGATCAACTTTAAATGAATTAATGGGTGATGGGGTAACTAGATGCAGACCATCCATACTCACTTCAGCTCCAGATCCAAACTGCTTCACATGATCAAGACATTCTGGTGCTTGTGCAACAATTTCCCAGAGCCCAGCAGATTCGGGTGTAAATAATGTCAGGACAGTCGACCTAAAGATTAATAGAGGAGATGACCATGGTCAAACAATAGCCATAAAAGCGGTAGCCAGACAAATATATTGTCAAAACATAATTGATGTTAGTGATGAACAGTATTGATCCTAAGCTTGAATCCATATCATCGTGCATTTTCTCCTTTTTCCCAAACAGTATACATCTAGATTAATGTATTTTATTTTTTTATTTACAAGGGCTTATAGAGAAATTAAAGAAACTCCAAAGTAAATGTTTTGTAGATTATTCAAAAAAAAAAAAAAAAAAAAAAATAAAAAAAAAAAAGAAAAAAAAAAAAAAAAAATTCAGGGGGATAGCCTGGGCTGTTAGGCCTCTAATTGGTATGCCCCCACCCTCTTGAATTTCAGACTCAAGCATAGAATTTCATATAATAGAAAGGAAGCTGGGAATACTGGACAATATTATGTACATTCAAGTCATACTTCGAAAATTCAAATTGGGCATTGGGGAATCTGGGGACTCCTGAACGTTCAAGTTTACACTTCAATTCCTGTTACTAGCATGGACCCAAATAAATAAAAAGATTAAAACTATATTTTATAAATTTAATTGAAATCATACCAGATAACTTGGCCATAAAACTTATCGAATGAATCCAGTAAATGAATTAGAAAAAGTACCAACATTCAAGCATCATGCTTTTCGCATCAAATAAGAATACACACTAGTCCAACATGAATATGGACATAGTATAGCCCCAGTAAATGCATTGATGTGTTTGTGTAAGAGGCAGAAAGAAATTCATTAACCAAATAAAATAACTACCCACAATAAAATTTCTGTTACAGCAGAATATAATGGTTCCAAATCAACAAGAAGCAGGATAAAGTTTATGAAGGAAAGTGAGTGAGATCAAAAAGCGCATTAAAGAGTGATCTAATAGGTAAGTTGCACATTAAAAAACAAAAAATAGCAAGAGCTGGGAAAGAATGAAGAGCAAACAACAGCTTAATAATTGCCTCCAGGACATACAAAAAATTCAAATGGCTTTATCAAATCAGTTGCCACACAAGCATATATGCACACTTGACAACCAAGACAATTTACCTCTTATCAGACTTCCTTACGTTGGGAGAAACAATTTCACAATCCTGACAAAAAGGCAAAACATTAGTCGAAAAATAAGTCCAAAAAATACAACTCAATCCAATGACAAAAATGAAAAGTAAAGATATAGACAGAAATCAATCACTGTAATGAATGCCAATTACCTCTGCAGATGCTCTGTAATTATCGTGTTCTAAAGACTTCCTAATCGAGTAACACTTTCCTCCGTCAATAACTTTCTGATTATCAATATGGGTTCTTTGGACAGCACAATGCATCTTCTGCTGTGCCTTCACAAGTCAACAGCAACAAAATGTCAGAAAAGCATAATAATAATGCAAAATAACTGGTGCATTTCAATAAGACAGTTCTGGAAATTGCAATTGAATTACATGTCATACCACATGATTACCAAACCTGCAGTAACAATCAGATTAACTTGGTTGTAACAGTCAAATTTCAGAGCAGAGTGACAGTCATTAAATAGAGAGACCATCACAATTCCAAAACCAACCCAGAAATGCAAATGCTTCCAAAACAATGAGCAATATCCAGAAAACAAACAGCACTGAAAGAGATGTCAATATATTCCAGAAAGCGAAAGACGATCAAAAACTTACCACAAATATCGCAATCTATCAAAACCATTTAACAAAGTGAACAAAACAAGCAACTCTCATATATATTTGTGTCATGAGACAAATACAAAGAGAGTTCTTTTCCTTTTTTCTTTCTCCTCTTCTTTGTTGCCACTATGTTATTGAATTGAGAATGAAACTACTAAACCCCACAAATAGTTGTAAACGTAAGTCAAACTCTTGAGAGAAAAATGCAAAAAAGGGTTCCCCAAATTTAGGTGTGAGGTTCCTAGATAATTATCACAACAACCCAACAGCTAATTTTGCCTGTGATTTACCTTTGCTTAGTTATCAACCGATAGAAACCACAATTTATTATTACCATTATTCCAAAATAGAAAAAACATATATAAAATGAAGTACATAAATAAATTTAGCTAAACAAATGTTAAAACATTTCATTTGCTTTCACTAAAACATTATAACCAGAGACAATAAATATCAAATATAAAGTGACACTAGTAATATTCATTGTTCGATAGTCAATCACCGGTAACGTTACCAGTCAAGCAACAGTGATCTTCAATGTCAAATTGACATCTGAGCACTGGACCGGTAACATTACCGATTCTTGGTGACTAAAGGTACCAGTAGGCCAAATCTAATAAATTAATTAATATTATCAATACGACAGGAAAATACACGTGTCCCTAAAAGATAAGATAGGATATTATTCCAGCGAGTTTACCAACTTTACTCCGGCAAAACAGCGATTTTCTTGAATTCGCGTAAAAAATTCAAAAATATAATAATGATAAAAAGCTTCATCTGAATCATCAGAGCTAAAATAAAATTTAAATTAAAAAAAAAAAAAGGGAGAGAAAGAAAAACCAACCATAAAGAAAGCAAGATTCTTCTTCTTCTTCTTCTGGGTCTAGTATCAAAAGCTCAGTTTTTGATCAAGTAAACAGAAACCCTTTTGAAAGAAGCTGAGTTTTGGGAGATGGGTATGATTAAAAAATGGAGAAAATGGCAAAGGGTGAGTAGGTAACAGACATATGTAAAGCATGCATGCAATTTGGAGATGCAGAAATTGAGAAATTGATAGTTTTGTTTGAGAGTTTCACAGGATAACTATCGAGTCGAGTCGATTTGAGTTACTTAATCAAACACTTTCACTTTGGCTTTCACAATTTCAATAATTTTAATTAAAAATAATAATATCCATAGTCAAGCTTGTTGGAGTTTGATCCCATGAGGTCTCTCACACTTTAACTTACCTAGATATTTACCTGTCATTTAAAAAGTTTTATTTTAACCCCCGAGGTTTAATTAAATAATAATTCACCCTAATGTTTTAAGAATTAACAAAAAGAATTCTCCGATCAATAAGTTTTACTGTTTTAGGTATTAAACTAAGTGATAGTAGAATATTTTTTAAATATTTATTAACTCATATATATATATAGATTTTTATCCTTCAAATGTTCTTTTTCTTTTAATCTTAAAAAAAAATTTTAATGCTCGAAGATTTTATTGAAATTTTAATTTTTAATGTTAACTAATAATTTCTATATGATTTGGATTTTTAAAAATTAGAACGCACTAATGAAAAAAGTTGTAAATGAGATTATCATATATATATTGTAACTATGGTGTCCAGACCAGTTTATGCATATTTCAACTAATCCCCAAGATCCCCTCAAGGTTTGAACTCAGAAACTTAAGGAATGAAGAAACTTCCTTAATTGTCAGACTAGTCCCTTAGAGTTAGGTATATCTATTTTTATAACTATATTTTTTTTAAGAATAGCGAAATTTTATTGAAATTACGTACTTCATACACCAGTCTCACTCAATATATTTTTTAATTACGAATTAGTATTTAGAGTATAAAAGTGTAAAGTAAATGCGATTAATCATCTAATGCGACATATGAAATGTTTACGTCGTGTGAACTTGTCAGTTTGTTGTGTGTATGACGTGGTATTTGTAAATTTGTAATCTATAATTTTACTTTTAAAGTTTTTAACGAGAAAATATCCTTATGTTGTAAGATTGTATAAGTAAAGTTATCGTTAAGATTTTGAAGTAACAATTGCTTTAATTTAGTTGGGTAGAATTTATAATTGTTATATGTTATGACTCTTTAGTATATTTTATATTTAAAAAAAATGAACTCATGGGACATATGCCATTTCTTATATTCGGAAACTATATAATGCACGATACTTTATATGCAAACACTCTAATACAAAATTGACGAGTTTTAAAATGATTGACTGACTATTAACTAAAAATATATTTCCAGGTGTCATGGAATCCATTGATCTCTTAAGAGCGGACAAATTTAACATAAATAAATAGAAATGGTTTTAATAATTTTAAGCACCTGAAAAGAGAGAAAACAGTTGTTTTATAAAACATTTTTTGGCAACACTTTGAAACCACTCAAGGTAAAGGAAAAAAAAAGGGGATAAAGTGGTTTAAATGAGCTAAAGTTAGAGGGGGGGCAATGAGAAGGGCTGAGTATCAAACGGTGGGTATCAATTCTGTGATTAAGATGGGTTGAAACTACATTGCTGGCGATGTTGACGCATTTACAAAGATTTGGGTTATGATTTTGATTTAGCATGGATTGGGTTTAGGTTATGATTTTGATTTAGTTGTTTAGGTTGTTAGGCTGTGTTTGATGTAATGGAAGTTGAAATGAGTGAAATATGTTGAAAATTTGTTCTAGGTATGTGTTCTGGGGTATGATGGATCGATTGTAGGTGTAGATGACTGAAAATGTGTTCTAGGTATAATGGATCGCTTAAGCGATCTGGTAGGTCTGGTAATGCAGCAGATAGATCGCTTAAGCGATCAGGTATGTGGCATAAGATCACTTAAGCGATCTTCTAAAAGTCTAGTGTATAGGAGCAGATCGCTTAAGCGATTAGTAAATGGCATAAGATCGCTTAAGTGATCATGGTTATTTATACTGGATCGCTTAAGTGATCCAGTATAAATAACCATGATCGCTTAAGCGATACACCAGACCATATAAGCGACTGTGCAGATTTTTTTTAAAATATTTGAACCCTTAGTACAACATTTAAGAATATTTTTTTTTTCTTGCATTACAGGTAGTTGGCTATTATTACACATGGGACAAGTTGTTTTGGGTGTTGAATATTTTGGTGAGTGGGTGGAGGAAGAAAGTAGTTGGAAGTGGATTGGGAAGAGCAAAGAAGTTATACCAATTGCTGNTAAGAATTAACAAAAAGAATTCTCCGATCAATAAGTTTTACTGTTTTAGGTATTAAACTAAGTGATAGTAGAATATTTTTTAAATATTTATTAACTCATATATATATTGATTTTTATCCTTCAAATATTCTTTTTTTTTTTTTTAATACTCGAAGATTTTATTGAAATTTTAATTTTTAATGTTAACTGATAATTTCGATATGATTCGGATTTTTAAAAATTAGAACGAACTAGTGAAAGAAGTTATAAATGAGATTATCGTATATCTATTTTTTTTTTTTGGGTAATTAGGGTGTTCGGGTCAGTTTGTGCGTACTTCAACTAATTTTCAAAGTCCCCCTAAGGTTTGAACCCAAAAATTTAAAGAACGGAGCAAACTTCCTTAACTATCAGGCCAACCCCTTAGAGTTAGGTATATTTATTTTTATAGAGTAATGCTACGTTTACACTATTTTCATTACATCATGATGTGGCATATACCACAACCACACAAATTTTTAATTATTTTGAATTTTTAATATTATAATAAAATTTGTATGGTTGTGGCATATGTCACATCATGATGTAATAAAAATTGTGTAAAACAGTGGTGTAAATGTAGCATTATTCATTTTTATAACTATATTTTTTTAAGAATAGTGAAATTTTATTGAAATTATGTACTTCATATACCAATCTCATCCAAGATAATTTTTTAACCACCGATTAGTATTTAAGATATAAAAGTGTAGAGTAAATGCGATCAATCATCTAATGCAACATATGAAATGTTTATGTCGTGTGAACTCGTCAGTTTGTCGTGTGTATGACATGGTACTTGTAAATTAGTAATCTATAATTTTACTTTTAAAGTTTTAAAAAGAAAATATCATTATATCATGACAGTGTATAAGTAAAGTTATTATTAAGATTTTGAAGTAACAATAGCTTTAATTTAGTTAGGTAGAATTTATAATTGTTATATGTTATGACTTTTCGGTATATTTTATATTTAAAAAAAATGAACTCATGGGACATATGCCATTTCCTATATTCGAAAACTATATAATGAACGATACTCTATATGCAAATATTCTTATACAAAACTGACGAGTTTTAAAATGATTGACGGACTTTTAACTAAAAATATATTTTTGGAATCCATTGATCTCTTAAGAGCAGACAAATTTAACATAACTAAATAAATAGAAATGGAATTTAGGGGTGAGCACGGGTAGCGGGTAGAACCGGAACCGGGGGTAAGAACCGGAACCGGAACCTACCCAGAACCTGCACTGTGCTGGTAGGTTTCGGTTCCAATTTTTTGGAACCGTTACTGTGCGGTTCCGGTTCCGGTTCCGGTTCTTGCATGTGGAGGAACCGGAACCGGAACCTGTAAAAAGGGTACCCTGTTTGGAACCTGCAGGGGGTACCCTGTTTGGAACCTGTTTTGGAACCTGTTTGGAACCTGCTTTGGAACCTGTTTGGAACCTGCTTTGAAACCTGTTTTGGAACCTGTTTGGAACCTGTTTTTGAACCTGTTTTGGAACCTATTTAGAACCTGTTTGGAACCTGTTTTGGAACCTGTTTTTAGAACCTATTTAGAACCTATTTTGGAACCTGGACTATAATGAAATATTTGTGAAATGTAAATAATAGGGGAGTTTCTATTATTTTACATATAAAAAAAATTAAAATAGAAAAAGTTAAATTTTTAGAATAACCTAATTAAATAAATATACGAATATAATTATACTTATTACATATAAATTACACCATATTAAAAGCTTTAATATATTATAATACATTAATATTAAAGTTTTGATCAATTAAGTGAATAATTGGAATTATGATCCAATTAAAAGTGTTTTACATTTTTAATGTTATTAAAAGAATTATTTTTGAATAAAATAGTATATTTGATTGAGTAATAATATATTTAGTTATTTACTTCAATTATCAAGTTATAAGTTACTATAAATAAATTAGGAATTAATTAATTATATGATAAATTGATAAACATTAATAAATTTAATTACTAGTAAATATCATACTTAATCAATTAAAACATTACATTATAGTTAAATGATTACTTAATTAATTATAATTTTATAACATACTTAATGGATTTATAATATAATTAATTATAGCATTACATTAATTGATATACTACTTAATTATTGACTTATAAGTTATAACATAATTAATAGTTAATTATTGACTTATAATTAGAAATTAATTATTATAGCATTACGTATAGGTTATAGTATAATTACTTAATCAATTATAACATTTTATTATAAACATTAGTACAAACTAATTAAAGATTTATAAAATTTAATTAATATAATATTACATTAAAAATTTATAGTATAATTACTAATAATTAATCACTATAAAATTACATTAAAGTATGATTATATAATTAATTATAACATTACATAATTAAATAATTACTTATTGATTATTTCATTATATTATAATATTAGTAATACTAATTTATACATAAACATTAGCATAATACTTAATTAAATGATAAGAAATTAATAATCATAACTTACCTTATAAACATTTCATATAACATAATTAAATTACATTATAGTTAAATAATTACTTAATTAAATTATAATATTATTATATTACATTATATATGATCACTACTAATTATAGTATTATATAGTTAAATGATTACATAATTACATAAAGTTTGAATTTATAACATTACATTATAAACATAGTATTACTATATTATTCGTTTATTACATTATTAATTAAACAATTAAAAATTTAATTAATTTATATTAATTTTATATTAATATACTTAAGAATATGGAAACAATTATAGTTTATAAATTCATTATAAATATTAGTATATTAATTAAAGATTTAAAATTAATTAATTATAAATTTATAGTATGATTACTTAATCATTTAACATTATA